AAGATCGTAGCATATGGCTTGGTGATGCATCAGAACGCATATGTCCGAAACGGATGGAACATGCTGGATTTCGTCATTGTCGTCATAGGGTATGTTTTGTCTGCTTATATTCTAAAGCTTTGCTACACTCTAAAATATAAAGGTTCTATGGTTCCATGAACATCCATGGAGCCTTTCCATTGAAAAAAAGGTTCTTCTGAATATTAAAATGTTCTTCACAATAAGGAGAAAAATGGTTCTTTTAAGAGCTGTTCACAAAATGGTTCAGTGCCACTGCTGTGAAAACCTTTTATTTTTAAGAGCGTACTGTTCACACAGGTTAACTCAAAGTTTTTGCACATCACCTCGATTACAAACAGCACATCTTTTTCTGTCACTTTTATTTTTTTCCTCCTTGATTTCTTGTTTTTTTCCCCCTCAATTTAATTCAAATTGTACATTTTATATTTATATTGTCAAAACATTAGCAGCTGATAATATTAGCAATAAAGTAATAACAACAAATAAAAATGGCTAAATGAAAAAAAATTATGCAACATAAATTAAATAAATGATACATTTATTTATATATGCAATATGCATATGTATTTATATATCTATACATTTATATGTTCTCACCAAGGCTGCATTTATTTGATGGAAAATACAGTAAAAACTTTTAAATATTAAATATAAAAAATATTATTCACATTTCAAAGAACTGTTTTCTATTTGAATATATTTTAAAATGCAATTTGTTCCTGTGACGCAAAGCTGAATTTTCATCATCGTTACATGATCCCTCACATTGTCATATGATTTGCTGCTCAAGAAACATTTCTCATTATTATCAATTTTGAAAGCAGTTTTACTGCTTAACATTTTTCTGGAAGCTGTGTTTTCTTTGATGAATAGATATTTTTATTTCCATTTGGAATTTGGCAGCATTATACATTATATTTTTAAGGTCACTTTTGTTTCATTTAATGCATCCTTGCTGATTAGAAGTATTAATTTCTCTCTCTCTCTCTCTCTCTCTCTCTCTCTCTAAAAAAAATAAAAAAATAAAAATCTTACTGACCCCAAACTTTTGAACAGTAGTCTATATGTAGAAGGATGGCACTTAAGAAAGATAAGGTTAAGACATACAGTATATGCCAATGTATCATCTCATTTTCTTTCTCTTCCTGTTTCCTTTATTCCATCATCTTCTAAAATGTCACTTTCACAAATTTTCCTCCTTTGTGGCTCTTCACCTTCTCCTCAACTCCCAACACACGCTCACACACGCACACTCCTCATGCGGCTATATGACCCAGAAAAGACCTGAGCTGCAGTCTTTCTCTGTACTGTCTCATTATACCAGCCTCTGTGGCGCATCTCCTGATTTTAGATTAGAGTTCATCGTGGACTGTATTACTCACTCTTTTATTCTCAGATGAACTATATTCAAAAACCATGTTTGCTGGTGACCTACTCTTCCAGTGTCCATTTGCCAGCCTTACTTGCTTTATATCAACTGTTTTTTTTTTTTTTAAGATGTGGCAGACGAGGAGTAATCCTTAACCTCCTCAGACTGGTTTTTATTACAATGTTTTCATTTCATGTCACTTTCTACTGTATCAGCCTAAAAAAGATGCAGAAGCCCAAAGATAAAAGGAAGAAGAAGAAAGCTGCTCGTCTTTTGTCCGTGCCTCAGGCCTGTTTCATAGCGCATGCATAAGCAGTGTGTGTAAGCACAAGCAGTGTAACTGCACCATCAGGATCACGTTGTGCTTTCACACTGACAAACACTTGTGCTGCGTAACACAACTGCGTCTCTATACAGAAAATAAGTGTTCTCTGGATTACTACGTTGAGCATTTGCTTTAAAACTAATTTTAGACACTTCTTACACATTGAAAATATGTCTTTCTTCAAATTTGTAGTAGACAAAGGCTCCAGATTTGGCCAGTTGACACCTCTTTGTGTCTTTCTCCTCAATATAATTTTGATAAATTTGACATTTTATACATAATCAGGCAAATCATTTGCAGCTGGTGTAATCAAACATTGTAGTCAAGTAATATTATTAGATAAAATACTGATCTGTTTCAAAAAATGGAGCAACATATGTTCAAAAGTGACACTGTCGTACTACATTTAGCATTTGCTTTAATAACGTCTATGCATTATACAGTGGTTACTGAGAGTGTGCCATTTGAGAATTATATACAACTTGATATTCATGAAATCTAATTTGCATGAAGAGCGAGACCGCATTTACATTCAACTGATATTTAAAGTAATATTCTGGGTTCTTTATAGTTACAAGCTTGATCAACAGCATCTGTAGCTTAATGTTGATTACTACAAAAAATATTTAAACTAAAATATTTAAAATATATATTTTTTTAAAAGAGCCAAAATCAGTGTTATGATGTGGTACTTGTGTTGAAAGTTAATGGGGCCAATTTTTCTGATTATTTAAAAGCAGAATTGTGAAGCATTTAATTTTAGAAATACAAGTAAATGAATTCTTCAATTAAAACTGATTTATTATTTGAGCTGTTAAGTTGTTCTCACCAATTTTACGGTAGCTTTAGGGTTTTAGAAGTTGTAAAATTGGATATAACTTTACACAGAAAACTTTAGTAAAGGTTTCGTTCACACTAAAATCATGTTGACATGCATATAAATTACACTCCTGTCTGTACTATTGTACCCTATTCGATTCATTGTAAGTGTCTTACTGTAACCCCGATTTCTGCTATATTTAAAAAAAAAACAACAACTAACAATACAAAAGTTTGGGGTCGCATTTATAATGTAACTAAATATTTCAGTTTCAAATAAATGCAGTTCTTTTGAACTTTAAAAGAATCATGAAAAAAACAGTTTCCACAAAATATGAGGCAGCACAACAATTTTTAACATTGATAATAATAAGAAATTATTCTTCAGCAGCAAATCAGCATATTAGAATGATTTCTGAAGGATCATGTGACACTGAAGACTAGACTTTACACAGAAAACTTTAGTAAAGGTTTCGTTCACACTAAAATCATGTTGACATGCATATAAATTACACTCCTGTCTGTACTATTGTACCCTATTCGATTCATTGTAAGTGTCTTACTGTAACCCCGATTTCTGCTATATTTAAAAAAAAAAAAACAACTAACAATACAAAAGTTTGGGGTCGCATTTATAATGTAACTAAATATTTCAGTTTCAAATAAATGCAGTTCTTTTGAACTTTAAAAGAATCATGAAAAAAACAGTTTCCACAAAATATGAGGCAGCACAACAATTTTTAACATTGATAATAATAAGAAATTATTCTTCAGCAGCAAATCAGCATATTAGAATGATTTCTGAAGGATCATGTGACACTGAAGACTAGAGTAATGATGCTGAAAAATCAGCTTTGAATCACAGGAATAAATTAAAATTTAAAATATATTAAAATAGAAAAGAGTTTTTTAAATTGTAATACTATTTCATAATATTACTGTTTTTACTGTATTTTTGATCAAATTAATGCAGCCTTGGTGAGCATATGAGACTTTCAAAAACATTAAAATATTTTATCGACCCTGACAGTTTTGTACATTTATTTTAATTTTTTATTCATTTATTGCTTTGGTTTTTTTTTAAGAATCAACATATTCTGTTGATTTGATCTTAAAGGGGTCATCGGATGCCCATTTTGCACAAGCTGATATGATTCTTTAGGGTCTTAATTAAAAGTCTATAACATACTTTGGTTAAAATTTCTCAATGGTAGTGTAAAAAACACCTTTTTAAACCTGTCAAAATCAGCTCTGTTTTTATCAAGCCATTATAGTCCATGTTGCTTTAAATTTTAATGAGCTCTGCTGGCCCCGCCCCTCTCTTCCGAGCTGCTCTCAGAGAGACTGTTTACTTTAGCCGCATTCATCGTGAAACTTGCTAATTAATTCCATTACAAAACATACTCACTTCTTCTGTAGATGAGGCTGGATCACGAATGATTCGTATGAACATAGACGCATTTAGGCAGATTGGGGCGTTCACATCAAAGCGAAAGTAACGTTAATACTCTGCGTCTTCAGCGGCTCCGATGTCGGGAGTAAATGACGACTGCTATATTCATTATTACATCCAACAATAAAGCACCTCAATCACTTAATCTGAGACATTCTTGTCTTCCCCTGCACCGGAGTCGACACAATGGCGAAATGATGACAGTCACTCAGGGCGGGTCTAAGGTAAGACACCAGTCCAGTCTGTGCTGTCGTGGGAGGGGCCTGTACAGAACTACGTCATTCTGACAGGGCTCTCAGAACAGCCTGATTTGAGAAAGAGGATTTTAAATAGGGATTTAAAAAAAAAACACTGGGTGGATTTTTATAATTATAGGATGGATGTGTAAACACACTGCCAACACACATTTATGTTCAAACAACTTGAAAAGTGAATTTTGCATCCGATGACCCCTTTAACTTGAAATGAACCCAGAATTTTCCTTTTAATCTAAACCAAACCCCACACTGTAGCTATCACCTACTTAAATCATCTGAATTCAGTTCATCATTTTACTGAATAGAAAGTGTTTGCGAGTCTGAAAATTAAAAAAAAAATGAAATGTCTTAACTTCTACATCTGTGTCTCTCACCACTCAGCCTGTTGGCTTCTCTGTAGATCATCTCATTCTGTGTACACTCTCCTCTTCTTCCTCTGTATTTCCTTATCAGCATCTCTATCTCACTCATACACACACAGTCCACTGCGTAGCTAGGTCACATTTCGATCAGTTCGCCTCATGCAGAAGAGCTGTCTCCCTCTCTCTCTTCACCTACCCGTCTCTCTGTTCACGGGGCTGTCACTCTTGATCTTTAGCTCCTGCAGAGCAGACCCCTGCAGCTGAAGATTAGCCAAGAATACTCACAGATAGGTAGTCACTCTTTAAAGGGCAAAACGCCGGCATTAATAAGGCTTGTGATTATTGTAATAGAAGCGGATGCATTCAAAGTACAATTTTTGATAGAAATATATTTTTTCTTATTTTATCTGCTGTTGCCGAGGTCCTGTAGTACATCATTATTCAGATGTGCACCATGGTCCTTTCAGGTCATCACATGCTGCTTTTTTATCATGTGTACAGCAGATGATGCCGCCTGATGTTGTTCAGATTGAATGTCTTGCTGTTTATGTTTTGGCACATTGATGAAAGGTCACGTAGACATGTGATGCTGGAAGTGGTTTATCTATTTTATAATCCAAACATGTTTTGATATTTTGGCTATAATCCTGCTACTTTACATCAAGATTACAAGCAATTTTATAAAACAATTTTTATATTAGTTTCAAAGAATGTAACCATCTTTTATATTAGGTTTTTATAACTTAATTTTTAAATATATATATATATTTTGTAGGATATAATGCTGTGTGCTCTTAAAATAGAAGTTATTCTTCTGATTTGTATATAGTGACGGAAAAAGATTATATACTCCAAAATAATATATATATATGTAGCGAATCAGCTCATGGGGAAATATGAATAATTAACCATAACTAGTTATAATTAACTATTCATATTTTAGAATCGCTGTAGATATTTAGCTGACCACTCAGGGTCAACTGTCTTGTCAATTCTAAGAACGTTAGTTTCCTGGTTAAGGGAAATAACTTTCTTACTGTACAAAAAAAGCTTGTAACGTAAATCTGCATGATTATTGACTCCGGTTATGAGCAAACAATGAACACGTCAAGTGTGATACAAGTAAGGTTTTATTAACTACATAAACACTTAAACTAGTCTAACATACTACATAAACACATAAACTGGTCTAACATCCTACATACACACATAAACTGGTCTAACATACACATACACACACACACACACATACAGTTGGTATAGGAAAGGGTTAAAGTTTAACTCAGCATAGAAAGAGGCATAAAGAATGGATTTTATGGAACACTTTGCATGTATATTCAACAGATCAAAGCCTTCAGGGATACGTCAGATACTGAGTTCAAACACACCTTTGTAAAAAGGTGTAACTGATACTTAATGCATCAATTAAATCGACTAAGTTTGATACTTGCACGTCTGTATGAACAAAGATTCCTGATGCGATCTTACGGCCCCAAGATCTTGCTGAAGTTGGTTGATGAGAAATATATATGTGTGTGTGTGTATGTTGTTACCAATACACACACACAAACACACACACACACACAAAACAAAATCAGTGTAGTCCAGTATTGTTGTTAAAACTATTAAAAACATTTTTATCAATTGCAATAAATATGAAATAAAATACAACACAAATATTAGATGAAAAACGTGGTATAGATGTATAAAAACGTATACAAAAATGAGAAATGTTGCTTTGGAAACTAACTGAAAATAAATAAATAAAAACAAAGTTGACGTTGAAGTACTAAAATTGCTAAAACTAAAATTGAAATGAAATAAAGCTAACTAAAAACTAATAAAATTGACAAAGCACATAACAGAATTACTGAAACTTAAACTATGAACTTAAAACTGAAAATATAAAATAAAACTAACTTAAAATATTAATAAACACTGTAATACTATATAAATAGTATTAAAACAATGCTGTTGCACAAGAAATGACTCTTCTGAAAAGGTTCTACCAATGAATCCTTTAAATGAAGGAGTTCTTTAAATCAGATCTTTGAGATTGCTCTATCTTTGAATCAGTCTAAATCAAAGCAGGTTTGCTTTGCTTGAGGTTTGTAAGGCATAAACAATCAGTAAATACATTTATTGAAATGTGTAGGTAAAGATACCAAACCATTTTTTTTAAATAAACAATTTTATTTATATTTCTTTATTTATACTTTATTGATATTTTGTGGTATCGATGAGTTATGTGTTTTTCCCCCACAGATTGTTTAGTGTTGTCTTGGAAGTTTTGACCAAAGAAGGGGAGAAGGATACTGCTGGAAGCCTCCCGCCTGTTCACGGCCATGGAGGGAAACCAGGAGGTTTCGATGTCAAAGCCCTCAGAGCCTTTCGAGTGCTGCGACCTCTTCGCCTGGTCTCAGGAGTGCCCAGTGAGTTAAAAAAAAAAAACCTTCGTCATTAGGCGTTACTAATAATACATTTACTAATGGAAGTCCCTATTTAAAAGTTATTATGTCTTCACTTATAGTGAGTACACTTAAAAAAATGGTGACATCTAATTTAACTGGATTTATGCAATATACAATAATCTATACCAACAAAACAAATTTTAGTTAAATTGGGTAGAAATAGCTCTTTTTAGATTACAGTTGTTGGTTAACACATTTTACAGTGTATATACTGCATTCTAAATTGTTTATATAAAAGTATCATTGTTATTTTAATATTATAAATTTGATATTTTCTGTTTTCACTTTCATTTTATTTATAGTAATTTGTGTTGTTGTTTTTTTTTCATTTTAATTAGTTTTTGATTTTTAAAAAATGTCTACGTAGTTTTTATTCATTTTAATAATTGTAAAAAAATATATACTTAAAGTTAAACTAAACAAAAATGAGAAATATTGTCTTGGCTACTAGCTGAAATAAAATACATGTTTTAAATATATTTTAATTTATTTCAGTTAACATTTACTTTTTTTAAATACTGAAAATGTTAAGTAACACTATTCACTATTAACTAGTTAACTTATTAACATGCATATTAAAAGCATGTTGGCTGTTTATTAGTAGTTAAAAAGCACATATTAATGCATGACCATATTCTACATCCCTTAACCCCAGACATAACTACTACAACAACTACCTTACTTACTATCAATAAGCAGCAAATTAGGAGTTTTTTGAGGGAAACCTTTTTGTTATTAGTGAGTGATACTGATTTATGTATTTTTTATTTAGGATCTTTTTATTTAGGACCGTTTTAATTAGTGTGCTGACATGTTTAGCAAGGTATAAACCCTTTTGTAGGTGAAAAAAAGAAGTTCAGTCAAGGTCAGGTGAAGCTGATTACATATTCAAGGCTTCTAGTTAAGACTGATAAGTCGACTAGTCATTCAGCCAGCCCACGACTATTCGATTTAAAAAAAAAAAAGTAGTTTTGCACAACACTAATCATGAGGCACTTTGACAGCATCCCTTTCTGAGTCCCCAGAGCGCCTGACCCCCGCAGAGGGGTGGATGCTGGGTGAGAGAAGGCGCATGATGTGGCCATATGGCAGGAAAAGCGCAGCGTTCCTTGCTGCATCCCCCTCAGGAACATTCTCTGAGAACAAGCTGTCAAATTCATTGCCCTAAAGACACTAATGTGTGTCTGTGTGTATGCAATATGAGTTAGATGTGAACATTTGGACTGAAATGCACCCAAGTGAATGCTCAAATGCTTTGGGGTTAGTGTTAATTTGCATGCATGTGCATGGTCATGTGTTTTTACGCATTTTAGCATATTCTCAGGTTTACAGGTGGTGCTGAACTCCATCATTAAAGCCATGGTTCCCCTCCTCCACATCGCCCTGCTGGTTCTGTTCGTTATCATCATCTACGCCATCATCGGTTTGGAGCTTTTCATTGGAAAAATGCACGCTACCTGTTACTTTCAAGGGACAGGTGTGTTTGACCTTTATGCCAACATAAATGTTGATATGCTACTGTTCAAAAATTTGGGGTCGGTTAGATAAAAAAAAAAAAAAAAGTTTTTTGAAAGAAGTCTCTGCTCACTAATGCTGCATTTATTTGATCGAAATGCCGTAAAAAAAGTAATATTGTGAAATATTATTACTGTTTAAAATAATTGTTTACTGTTTGAATATATTTTCAAATGTAATTTATTCTTGTAATGGCAAAGCTCCAGTCTTCAGTGTCACATGATCCTTCAGAAATCATTCAAATATGCTGATTTGCTGCTCAAGAAAAATTTCTTATTATTATAAATTAAAAAAATATTATTATTTTTGTATAATCCTTGATACATTTATTTTTCAGGATTTTTTTAAGAATAGAAAGTTCAAAAGAACAACATTTGTTTGAAATAGGAATCTTTGGTAACGTTATAAATGTCTTTACTGTCCCTTTTGATCAATATAATGCATCCTTGCTGAGTAAAAGTATTAATTTCTTCCAAAAAAAAGAAAAAAAGATCTTACTGATCCCAAACTTTTGAACACTAGTGTATATATTTGAAGAGTTTGGTTCCAAAACGCTATAAATCCATTTTGATTAATTTGAGTAAAAATGTGTTTTCTTTACCAAGAAAGTGGCAAGATGAAACCACTATTTTCTGTTTCAAACTTCCACATAGCATCTTTAGGTTATAATAACATTAAAAATTCAAATCCCGATTTAGATTTTCAAAGATTTATTATAAAATGTTATTATTTTTTCCCCAAAATGCAATAAATCCATGACACTTTTTTTTTTTTCAAAATGCAATAAAGCCATTGAATCAATATAAAAGTTATTTTTCATATTGAAACATATACACAACATAGTAAGTTGATCCACATATGACAGCCTCTGATCTTGGTCAATACTAATACAGGCACTGGACTAAAAATACATTAAATCAGTCATCGCTCCCAAAATGAATTCAGCGGGTCATCTTGTTAATGCTATAAATTAATTACAACAATAAAAGAACATTTCATCATGAATATACATGAACAACAATATCACATTAAACCACAGAAATTCCAAAATGACATTTCCCTTACATTCAACTTCCAAAAGTGCATTCATCTTTGCCATGTTACATTAATTTAGTTGACTAGTGCTATACGCTGTATTAACAAAAAAATTAATGGCATAAATAAAAACACTTACACTGACAAGCTACGCAATATCACGTTCATAATCGAATGTGACTCATCTGCGATTATGAACGCGATATAGCAGTGATCTATGGCTCTGTGTATTAAATGCCGCTCCATCTGAAAGCACGTGATGGAGATTTACTGTTCACAGAACCGGCTTTACTGACGAGATGCGCATGACAATCACATGCAATTTATCATGCAGCCCCAAGTTTGTTTGTTGATCACAAAAGAAACAAAATAGATTAGGAAAACTAGGAAGCCGGGTGTATTCAAAGCGTCGCCATTACTGTCTAGAGTGCGTAAATGGTGTAAATGGTGCTCTGTGATTGGTTGAGTGGATATATCGCATTCTGCAGAAAAGGGAGACTGGTGCTTGTCATGGTTTGGAAAAAAAGGGAGAAAACATGACAGAATAACTCGGCGGATATTGCATTTTGCGTAAAATTAAAAATTGACTTTTCAATACAATTTTTTTTTAAAGCAGATAATAATAAAATGCCTGTTTTTCCCCTTATATATTTTTATTTACTTATGTCTTATATATATATATATATATATATATATATGTATAAAAATATATTTATGGAGTTTAATCTATAGATATTTTTTTCCATTTCTGGAAGACACATCATCATCATAGAATACTGTTGTTGGGACATTAAATTAGCATCTATATGCTGATTTGAAGTAGAAAGACTGAAATAGTACTTTCTTAGTATAACAAACACCAATAATATTCGTTTTGTTTACTACATTATAAAATCCTTTTTTTACAGTGTACAGGTGCATCTCAATAAATTAGAATGTCGTGGAAAAGTTCATTTATTTCAGTAATTCAACTCAAATTGTGAAACTCGTGTATTAAATAAAGTCAATGCACACAGACTGAAGTAGTTTAAGTCTTTGGTTCTTTTAATTGTGATGATTTTGGCTCACATTTAACAAAAACCCACCAATTCACTATCTCAACAAATTAGAATATGGTGACATGCCAATCAGCTAAGAGGCAGTAATTAAAGCAAAAGGAGCCCCTACCAAGTATTGAGTACATGTACAGTAAATGAACATACTTTCCAGAAGGCCAACAATTTACTAAAAATGATTTTTTTATTGGTCTTATGAAGTATTCTAATTAGTTGAGATGGTGGGTTTTTGTTAAATGTGAGCCAAAATCATCACAATTAAAAGAACCAAAGACTTAAACTACTTCAGTCTGTGTGCATTGAATTTATTTAATACACGAGTTTCACAATTTGAGCTGAATTACTGAAATAAATGAACTTTTCCATGACATTCTAATTTATTGAGATGCACCTGTACATAATATGAATATAGATTCATGTTTTCAACGCATTGCAATTCATGAATTGTTGGAAAGTGTTTAGAACTATTATGCTGGTTTAGTTTGATCTTCTCTCCTCTTTCTGCAGAAATAATAGCAGAGGATGAACCCGCACCATGTGCTGTTAACGGTCATGGCCGCACATGCCCCATTAATGGCACCGTGTGTAAGGAGGGCTGGCACGGCCCCAACGGAGGCATCACGAACTTCGACAACTTCATGTTTGCCATGCTCACTGTGTTTCAGTGCATTACCATGGAGGGCTGGACGGATGTGCTCTACTGGGTTAGTATTAGCATGCTACTTCCTCTCGCATCCTAGCTAGCACGTCTTCTTGTTGAAGTACTGTATAATGAATCTTAGTCAATAATTATATTTGTGTGGAGAGGATGAAGTGCTTGTACAGTCATTACTGCTTTGAGGAGAGTGTGAGAAGCTCAAACTAGCATCCCACACACTGAAGTAGAAACTCAAGGGTCTGTGACTGACCAGTGTGCTCTGATGAGATCCACCCACCTTTCACATCATCTGCTGGAATATCTTTCCTCCATTTCATCACAGCACACACTTCAGATAGATTTTCAACATAGAATTTTTTGGGGTGATTCACAGGAAATCTAACTGCTTATTTGGCATGCCCAAATTTAACATGTAAATATGCATAATCCAGCATGCATGGTAATAAAGCTTGCCTCCTGGAAAATACATATATTTAATTATTTTAATTAATATTCATTTTTTAATATATGTATGTTTTTATAAATTTTTATATATTAAAATTAATAAATAATTTATCAAATTAAATTAAAATAAAATACTTTTATTTAAATTAATAAAAAATGTATAAAATTATTTTTTATTTAATTTTTTTGTATTTTACCTAAATCATTTTCATCATTTTCAGTGGTTTGGTCAGGGTAGACTAGACATAAAATGTTTCTTTTTTAATTAAATATTTATTTGTTTAAAGAAAATACTTGAAAAAGGTTTATATATAAATTCAGTTATTTATTTATTCAAAGAAAATGCCTGACAAAGGTCTCTGAAATGTAGCTTATTCAATACAATTCTTGCAAGCTTATGGACAGTGTGTGGGACTTCTCCTATATCTTTTTCTTTGTACTGACTTCATCTTACACTCAATTTTTCTGGCCTTCTGGTATTTATTCAAAACATCTAAATGTGTTAAAACTGAAATCCAGTTTGATTTTGAGTATAATGTCTTCTCTATACCTATTTTTAACCTTCACCTTACAGTTTCTGTTTCATCCCAAATCTTTCATTCGTTTCTCTCTTTCTCTCTTCCTCCTCGTTCACTTCCTCTCCTCTCTCAGATGAATGATGCTATGGGGTTGGAGCTGCCCTGGGTGTACTTTGTGAGCTTGGTCATCTTCGGCTCTTTCTTCGTCTTGAACCTGGTTCTGGGTGTGTTGAGCGGGTGAGCAGCTCCTCTTCTCTCTTCACTACAGCCCCTGATCTCCAATTTTTTTTCTCTCTCTCTCTCTCCCGAGACTAAACTCCATCCCTGGTGTTTCTCTCAGCTAAATGTAGCCTCTCTCTCTGGGTTAACCGTACTGTTTGGGCCCCTGTAGGTGAATGACGCCATTGGCTGGGAGACGCCGTGGATCTACTTTGTTAGTCTGATCATTCTGGGCTCGTTTTTTGTGTTGAATCTTGTCCTGGGTGTACTCAGTGGGTAAGAGAATGAGAAACGCTGTGTGCTGTGGAGACTGCTGTGGTTTTCTGTCTGCTGTCATTTCTCTCAACATCTGAGCGGAAGTTTTTCCTGCGTGGGGTTCAGCATGAAGTTTTACGATAGACCTGATCTTGGATCAATACCACAGTCATGGACAAAAGTTGCAAACTACTATGTAGGGCTGGGCGATAATTCGATAACGATAATTATTGCGATATAATTTTCCTCGATAAAACGATAAGAAATGTTCGATATAATGTTTATGCGCCAAAAGCGGAACGAAACAGCGCGACTCATTTGAAGCGCCCCACACACTGACCATTTATCCGCTCAGATCAAAGTTCAAACTGCCGCGCGGCGCAAGCTCACTAGAGGAGATGCATGTGAGATCCACTGCTTGAATTCAGCGATGAACACAAATGATTTAAACTAAATTAAAGCCAAACAGGAGAAACACTGTGTGCAACGAGACAGTCAGAAGGCTTTTCAATCTACACATCACCATCATTTACCATGGATTTACTGTAGTAACACTCACTGCACCATGGTATTGTGGCAGAAACTTGGGATATTCACACTGAATTTTAATACAGGAGTAATGGTAATTATAGTATGTATTTGTGATTAAGCTATAGCATGTGTGCATTTATACTGAATGTTTTTAGACTATTGTTTTTCATACAAATAGGCTACCTAAAAACATATAGTTATATTTTTACCATTGTATTGAGGTGCTATATGTGTGTTTTTTAAACTGTGTTTATCAGGATTTAAATGTATGCTACTATGGGAGACCAATGTTTAATAATAAAAAAAAACTTTGGTCAGAATAAATTTAATCATATAAAACTGAGGTTGCTAAATTTTTTTTACAGATGTTACTGATTTTGATAATGAACAAATATTTACCTCTGCATCCTAACTCAAGCTACTATCAAATGTGCATTTCTAAGAGACAAAAAAGTGATATTATTATTAATATTATCAGGCAACCTAAATGTTTCTTTTTTTTTTAAACAATATCACTCATTAGAACATGCAGAAACTAAGAAATACATTTTTCTATTTAGATATTTATTTTAAGGGAAATTAATGGTCTGTTAAATCTTTCACTTTGGAGCAAAAATCTGGCTTTAAACTTGAGAGAAATAAAGATTTGACATTTATAGTTATAATTATCGATATCGACTGATATGAAAAAAATTAGCATGATAATCTTTTTGGCCGTATCGCCCAGCCCTACTTCTACGGTTATTTTTTTACAAAACTAGGGTAAATTCTGGTGAACTGGGCAACTTTTGTCACATCAGTGTCTGTGTGTTAATACTACTACTACTACTACTAATAAACTCAGTATTAAGTAATTATTACGTAGTACATCATTTAATAAACAGGTATTCATGTATTAGTAATAATATTATTCACTTAATATACAGTACATACATTCTTTTTAATTTAAATATATTTTATTTATTCATGTATTAAACCATCCTATTGCATCATATTAACCAGTGTAATGGTTTTGGGTACTTTCATGCTGGTTCTAGCGGTTCACCCATCATAGCGATGTTGGTTTACCTTAAACAATCCAGTCTATGCCAGTAACAGATCAGGATGATCTAATACTTAAAAACCATCTAAAAACCCAAATGTCTTTGATTTTATGATGGTCCAAACTGGTCTAAACTGTAAGCATTTCCATATGCATTCTATTCTGAATGTTAACTCAGTCATAAGGTGTTTTAGTGTAACTGAACATACACTATTTATAGTTTTTTAAAAATAGATATTTATAGTCAAAATTATAGTAAAATATAGTGAAATACTTTTCTAATCTCACTTATGTAAAAACAAAGACAAACCTCAGTTTTAGACAAACAAACATTTTTAGATTCATTGTAAATGAGTGACATTAAGGATATGCTTGGGGTATTTGCAGTCCTTTTTTCCATGACTGTATATTAGTAGTTTTTTCATTTTTATATATATAGAGGTTTCAGGTGTTTTTTGACGTGTTGTGTGCTGTGAAAAGATCCTCACATCTGCTGGGTTGAATCGTTCTGAACTGATGACATTATTAAGTCAAATGGGTCCAAGGACAGAGCGAAACACTATGAGAGAGGAAGTGATTCAGACTCATGAAAGTCATGGAGGAGAAATTAAATTGTTTAGACTAAAAGACTAGGGCAAAGCAGAAACATTTGCTTTTTTGGGAAAAAAATCTGTCATTAGGATGATTTACCAATTCAGCACTTAAATACAAATGTATTGTATGTATTTGATCTAAATATATTATGAAATATTACTATTATCATTTAAAAGAATGGTTTTCTATTTTACTATATTATATATATATATATATATATATATTTTAAAATGTAATTTATTCCTGTGATGCAAAGCTGAATTATCAGCTTCATTACTCCAGTCTTCAGTGTCTCATGATCCTTCAGAAATCATTCTAATATGCTGATTTGCTGCTCAAGAAACATTTCTTATTATCAATGTTGAAAACAGTAGTGCTGATTAATAGTTCTCTTTCATTATTTCACTCAATGCTGCGTAGCTATGACGCAATGGGAATGTCTCTTGGGTGTGGCAATTGTCTGAAGCCTGTATGGAATCACACCAATTCATTGAATGATGGCGCAGGCTCCACCTCAACGTCACTACGTCATCCACTCTAATACTAAAGATCGCGCCATCCGCCTCTCAGATTTCCTTTCTTCAGAAGCGGTTGTTTAGCCCTTCAGTAGCGATTTATCTGGCCTGTGTTTTGACTTATTTCTTTGAGTTTCTCTTTTGCACTTCAGCGACTGCATTCAATGGAACCTCGTTTCTCCTCATGGTGAAGTGCTATGGAGTTTCATTGCTGCCATCCACCGTGCTCTCACTTTATTGCGAGCGACAACTCACACAGTAAGTGTGTTAAATGTATGGGTTTGTCTCACTCGCCTGAGGCTTTTTACAGCATTTCTAACTGTACATTTTGTGAGAATCTCTGTCTCTGAATCTCAGTGATCGGTTTTCCGCGTCATACTGCTCCGGAGGCCGCTGAGCCCCTTCGTGAATCTGCGGCCTGGGGTTCAGATGTGAAGCTCAAGGCTATAGAAAGTGAGCTGATGGGCCTCGCCCTTTCTCCCTCTCTCGCACGGATTCGGTGGAGTTTTTCCACGATTATTTATGTCCCTACCCAGAGGCACTCAAATGATGATTCCTTAGATGTTAGATGACATTTTGCGATTTGTTGATTGGTTCGTTACTGTAGACCTGAAGGATGCTTATTTTAATATTCAGGTTGTTCAGCAGCACAGGAAGTTCCTCAGGTTCGCCTTTGGGGGAAAGGCGTACCAGTACAGGGTTCTTCCCTTCAGTCTGGCTTTGGCTCCAGGGATGTTCACGAAGTGCATGGATGCTGCTCTGGCCCCCGTTGAGGCTCCAGAGCACCCGTGTGCTCAACTACCTGGACGATTGGATCATCTTGGCCCATTCTAGAGAGTTGGTGAGTCGTCACAGAGACATTCTTCTTCACCATCTTCAATCTCTTGGCCTCAGGTTGAATGCTCAGAAGAGCGTTCTCACCCCTTCTCAGTGGACCATTTTCTTCGGGGGGTCCACCTCAATTCTGTTTCAATCCAGGCCCATTTGGCTCCTGTTCAGATTTCTGGTATCAAAACATGTTTGGCCCGCTACAAGCTAGGCCATCATGTTTCACTGAGCACATGTCGCAGACTCCTGGGTCTCTTGGCAATGGCCTCTCCTGCTTAGAGTGTCACGGTCACGCACACTGGACAGGCATGCATGCCGCCCCCTTCTTTGGGCTCATGACAGGCTTCTTTCTCTGAGAGCGGTTCATGAGCGGTTCGTGCTCTGAACCTCACAGTGGACTTCCGATTGAGGCAGAAACTCAGGTCGGGGGACTGGATGCTGAACTGCCAGACAGTGGCTTAGATCTGGGATCTTTTCGGCAGGGCGGAGGTAAATCTCTTCGCATCGCAGGAATTGACCCAATGTCCCCTTTGGTTCTCCCTATGTCACCTGGCACCTCTAGGGATAGATGCTTTTGCTCACCCGTGGCTAGATCTGAGGCTGTACGCATTTCCGCCAATCAAGTTGATTCCTGCGGTCTTGTGCAGAGTGAGGGAGTGCGGAGTCCGCCTCCTGTTGATAGCCCCATTCTGGCCATCCCAGACATGGTTCTCGGAGCTAGTCTCCCTTCTAGAGCACACCCAATGGGAGATTCCAATCAGGAAAGACCTGCTGTCTCAACTCAAGGGCAGGATCTGGCACCCTCAACCCAAGATTTGGATGCTATGGGTGTGGCCGATTAAGGGCAATCAGCTGTAACCTCTGGTCTTCCTGTGGACGTTCAGGAAACCATTGATAATGAAAGGCTCCTTCTACTAGGAGGTTTTATTCTTCCAAGTGGAAAGTGGCTCATGCAGTGAACCAAGTCATCTGCCCAATTGGTTCAGTGCTGGAATTTCTGCAGGAGAAGTTTGCGGCTGGAGTGGCTGCTACCACCTTGAGAGTTTATGTTGCAGCTATTGCTGCTCGCCGGTATGTGGACTAAGTCCCCCTAGGTAGACATCGTTTGATCTCTTCATTTATTCGTGGGGTTAGGCGTTATGTCCCCAAGGTCTTGTCCACGTCATTTCGCTACCAGGTGGTCGTGCTTCACTCCTGTCCTCCTCCTTTTGCTTCTGTTGAGGACGAGAGGCTTCACCTGCTCTGCCCTGTTTGAGCTTTGAAGCTCTATGTGAACCGCTCTAGTCAATGGTTCAAGTCCTCCCAATTGTTGGTGTGTTTTGGTGCTGGCCACAGAGGGCTCGCTCCATCAAAACATAGAATTTCTCATTGGTAAGGGATGCTTATGAGGTCTGAGGTCTCTCTTCAGCGCTAGGTATTCAAGCTCGTTCTACCAGGTGTTGCTTCCTCTGGATGGTGCGGTCGCTAGTATTAGACTGGGTGACATGGTAACGTCGAGGTGGGGCCTGCACCATCAGCCATTGAATTGGCGTGATTCCATACGGGCTTCAGACACTTGGCACACCCAAGGGGTGTTCCCATTGTGTCATAGCTACACAGCGTCTCGTTCCCTATTCAGAGAACATGGGTTACGTGAGTAACCCAAGACGTTTTCTATTCACTGATGAATAGAAAGTTTAAAAGAACAGCATTTATTTGAAATGGAAATCTATAACAGCATTATAAATAGGGATGCACCAATACCACTTTTTTCAGAACGAGTCCGATACCGATACTTTCATTTTTGGTACTCTCCGATGCCGATATCTGTATTTTCACAGCATTTAAATTTTTGTATAAATATTGGGTACAGAAACAAAATAATAATAATAATAATATGGATCATGTTAGTTGGCTTCATTTAGCAAACAGATATTTCCTTCAGTTATTTACACACTTAATTATACCTGTTAAAATGTGTTGTATAAGCTTTTGTTACTTTCACTGTTCATTTTAGTGGCGCATTAGAGCAGCTCAATCCTGTAATCACAAGACGTTTTCCTAAAATAATGCAGGGAACCACTCGTTATACATTATACGAGTATGCATGTACAATTTTGGTGATGTAATTTGCATCACTCAAACTGTACGCGGACCCTCGTGTAGGAGTAAAAAGTATACTTTGGCCTTTAAAGCAAGCTAAACGTGCAGCGTGCACATGTTTGTATTAGACACTTATAGCCTAGCGCATTTCACACAGTCTGCTAATTTCACTTTTGCTTTAAATAAAGTTGTGTAAGCTTGACGTTTAAAATAAATGTGGTTTATAGTGATTGCCCCTATCATTTTTGTTTGTTTTATATTTACGATTTAGTTTTAATCTAAATGCATGCACTTGGAGCGAACAGCAATCAAGATCATGCGACAGAAGTGCATGCTCTCTGACTCTCTCTCTCGCTCTTTCTCCTTACCGTCAAATAACTTTAGTAACTTGTGCGTTGTTTTACTTACTTGCTTTTGAAATATCCGACCGAACTACAAACTTTCCAGTGATGTCTATGAAATATTCACTCGACAAGCTCACGCATCTGTGCCGCCGCGTGCTCTGCTTATCAGCTTTTCCGCTATACAGGCGTGAATATTGAATATTTAACATTATATTAATTACTTACATGTACTTCATAGACATCCCTAATCTCTAATAAATCCATTCTACTCTTTGTTGTTCTGTTGTCTGTGTTTCTTTTTCTGGACACAGCTCTATTCACACGTTCTGTGGAACCGGCTTTTGGTATCTGGGCATTTTTACGAGTACAAGTACGAGTACAGGAAATGTGTTAATTTTACTGACCTCAAACTTTTGAATGGTAGTGTATGTCGATATAATTTACAAAACCTGTATAGGTTAATCATAACTTTTGTTGTACGTCAGTTTTTGGATTCTTCGTTTTTGCATGAACCTTGAACAGAATACAGAGATTAGTTAAGACAGAAGGAGACAAAAAGAACTTGAGGAGATGAGAAAATGGAATAGCCAGAGAAAGGAAGGGCAGATGGAGGAGAGGATGGAGACCTTAGCCAGACAGGTGACTCAATTCAATTCCATTGTTTTGTTTTTTACATCAGAAAGACAGCCATTGACTCTCATATTCATCCTCTTCTCCTTCATTTCCTTCAGAAGGGGGCACAGATTTTGTGACCCCCTCTGGAAGGGTGAAATGAATCTCCTTCCTGTGTCCGTAAGTCCTACAAGCCATTTCTTAGAGCTGCAGGGTTATTAATATCCCACCAGGGGTACACAATTTGCAGATCAAGCAATCTTTCAAAATTAGGTTTGGATTCCATTATTGTGCTTCCGCCATTTTATTAAGGACGCCACACACGTTGTATGACGTTTCCAGCACGTTTGTTTCTCCAAGTCCTTTATGGACAAGCATGCACCCTGCTGGCAGGACACTGAAGCATTTACACTTAGGTTTAACTGTATGTGAATATGGTGAACGTGCATTAATAATAAATTTTTTATTAGCTGCTCATAGTGCATGAATGTAACAAACTGCAGAAAGAGTGCTTCAAAATATAATGCCTAAGGTAAGGGATTTGTTCAAATTACAAAGCCTATGTATGAGCAATTATAACAGTGCGTTATAATTGCTCATACATAGGCTTTGTAATTTGAACAAATCCCTTACCTTAGGCATTATATTTTGAAGCACTCTTTCTGCAGTTTGTTACAGACATGAATTATAAGTGATTCTTGTGAATTGTTGAGAAAAGGAGTGTACTTTTCTAAGTGAATATTAAACATTTTGGCATTAAAATTCAGTTGATTTTTATTAAAAGAGTGACCTGAGCCAACCTGGTAACAACCTCCTAGTAATGCCCTTTTGGGGGCCATTATATTTGGAAGATTGTTAATGTTCTGAGGATAAAACTGTGTTTTCCTGAACCCAGAGAGTTCTCTAAAGAGCGAGAGAAGGCGAAGGCTCGTGGAGATTTCCAAAAGCTACGGGAGAAACAGCAACTGGAAGAAGATCTGAAAGGTTATCTGGACTGGATCACGCAAGCCGAAGACATCGACCCTGAGAATGAGGAGGAAGATGAGGAAAGCAAACGCAACCGTGAGTACCTGAGTACTACTCTCACAGTGCAGTGGGATTTGCATTTCGGTCAACTAATAGAGGTTACACTTGCAAACTATCTGATCTCACTTCATGCTGGCACATAACTTTATATTAGCACATTTTTACATGACAATGAAAAGTGATGTGCAACTGGTATGGTCATCTCAACTAACTTAGAATTTGCAGTGTAATTTAAATGCATACTAGTACCTTGGTGATTACCAAGTACTCGGTCAGTTCATATTCAGACAAATGCAGAAAGTTATTGCATGTAAGGATTTAGAATTGAACTGAGAATGATTTTTAAATTGCAAATTAGTTCATGAATTTGATTCAATTTGAACTGAGTAGCAAACAATTTGGTCAATTTAAATGCAAATTTAAGGAAGTAGAATTAAAAATTCATATTACTGCTGTAGGTATGGTAGGCTATTTAATAAATAATACTTAGAAATACGAAGAAATATAAGATGATATTCATGTATGTAATTCCATTGTATGTAATTTATTTACACTTCTGCACATTTATTGGCTACATTTATTGATTAAAATACAATAAATTCAGTATTAAATGATCTGAAAATATTGCTGTATGATAGAATTAAAGTCTGCTTAATGGTTGTGTTCTTTATTTTTGCAGCATTAGCTTAGTTTGAAAAATGTTGAAAATTCAGCACATTAAGGAATCAATAGGCCTAATTAGTCAACTCAAAATGAATTATTTGTATTTTGTGTTGATCTAATGAAATTTGCTCAGTGAGCTTCTGCATTGCTATTTTCTGATGTGTAATAGCTAAGGATGACATTACAACCAAAGCTTTGCAACTTTTTGTAGCAGCCACAGAGCCATCTTTAATTGGCCTGTCATGCCCATCAAACAGAGAACAGATGTCAGCAAACCCAAAACAGCTGCCTCTGGTGTATTTTTCATGAAATAGTTGAAGAGCAGTCAGCATGCGCTGATGCCTCAAGTCTCTCACCGCAGATTTATCCATCATATTCAAACATCTCCAGGTCAGAAGGTTCAGTACGCGACTGACAGCAGGGGCTGATTCTGGAAACTGGAGAACTAGAGTTCATCATGCTTGCAGTTTTGGTTTGATCAAGTCTTCTCCATGTATTGTCTAAAAGTGACATTAAATGAGCTAAACGTAAGACAGTCAGGATGGCCGGTACCCAGCTAACAAAAATATGTTCTAAGAACATTTAGGTAATGTGAAATGTTGTTCTCTAAATGTCAAGGAACATTCTTTTTTTACATTTTGTAAACATTGTTGATAATATGTGTTTCTAACATTGCGAGAACCTTCTGAGAACGTTCCCTGTTTGCTGGGTGTCTGCTGAGCGAGAGGAGTTTGCTCAGAAGGGCATGAAGTGGAGAAACTGAGCAAAATAAGGACTAATCCTAATCCCTTTTATATAAGCAGCACACATGATTCTGAGCGGTTAGAGCCGCTGCTAGAGTATGGCAGATTTCAGCTTCCACTGTCACTGGAGCTCTATGACTGACCTCAGTTCTGTGAGAGGACGGCCGGGTTAGATTAGCAGGCTGCATTCTGAAAGAGTTTTTTGCTATAATTGATTGATGCAGACCCACAAAAGTCGCTTGTCTGGAAGGCTTAGCGTTTATGCAGAACTTATTCTGCCAATGGAAATGCAAGCTGAATTCTCTTTCCGCTCATACAAGTTCACAGAATCTATTTATATATAAGAATCTATATAAGAGAATTTATTTCCATTCTTAATCAGTATCTTTGTCTTGTTTTCCAGTAAAACTTGTTGTAAACAAGATAGGAAAAAAGATGAATTGTTTTAAGCATAAAATTCAACTTATATAAAATAAAAAAATAAAAGTGGGGGAAAAAGCACTTTTGTATACAGTTTTATACAATTTTTATACATAAATTGCAATATTAGTTTAATATTAGTTACGTTTATCTTCACAACATCCATGGAAAAATAAGTTATGTTATGATAACTCTAGGAGAGTTTAGCATGGTAATGTACATGGCAGTGTTAATGCATTTGGTCTTGGTGGAATAGATCTGCTACACTGCTGTGGCAGAGCAAGTACCGAGACTTGCTACTGCCAATACATCCACAGACATGCTGCTGTGAGCATGTAAGAAATACTGCTTCTCCACATATAACATGCATGAAATCACCCATATATAACATACATGAAATTACCCCGTAGCAGATCTATACAGGTGGAGCTGGGGAAGGTGGAGGGTTTATGAAGTGCGCTGCAACTGCTACAGCAAGCACTGGCCAAGTATTTGAATGTCGAGCAGCAAGCTCATTGGCTGCTGATGTGAAAGAAACCAATCAGCTGTGCCATGTGAATAATGATATGATGATGTATATCAGATTGTGTTAGAACCTATCGGCCTGCGCCATCTAGAGTTTCATGACAGAACTTTGTATTACTGGTCATTTTCTGCCAAGACATTATCTGTTAAGTTTACGGTCGTTTCCATTAACCCTGAAACACAACACAATTCAAAGCATATTTGAAATGTAAAAAGATCAATAAGGAAAATTCCTTCATTTTAACGTAGTACATTGGTTTAGTATTTTTACTGAGAAAAAAAAGGCAAAGATACTGAATGCAAATTTTACTGATTTTTTTTTTTTTAGATTATCAGATTATTTTTTATTAATTGTGTAATTATTTAAATTTGTATTAATTATTTTGAATTTGTCTTTATTTTATTATGTTTTAATTTTAATTTGAAAGTTTTAGGAATGTTTATTTTGTTAGTTGTTTCTATAGTCTTTATTCATTTTTATTTCAGTTTCTTTTATTACACCGGGTTAAACTAAATGAAAATAAATGCTTTGGCAACTAGTTAAAATAAAATATATATTTTTTTTATTTCAAGTAATACATTTTTCATGGTTTTAATTTTGAACTGTGATATATGATAACATCCAACATCTCATTTATTTTGGTTATGTTTCACAAAATGCCATGAAATCTGATTTTTTTTGAATATTTACTGTATTTAATTTGATTGGCCTGCCATGTATGCATTATATTCCTCATTGTTTTAGATGTTGTTGTAAATTGGTTGTTCATTTCTGGTAAGTCCAAAGAGAACAAAATGTACAAATAATAGCCTGCTTTTCCAAGCAAATATCAAACCGGCAATTTCATCTCTGTTGACTCTGTACCATTTTCAAATTGCACTCTTGCATTTTAGTGATCATACAAGACCATACTGCAATTTTTTATTTGATTAATTGTGTAAATTTAGCATGAGAAATTATATTAGAAGGGGCCTTTTTTAAGTACAAGTTACATACACATGCACGCAGATCTCCATCATCTGCACCATTGAATCTCAACACTTGGTCCCTCGCTATGTTCTTATGTTTTCACTGAATTCATTGCACTGTGATCCTAATAACCTGCTCTCGCTCACTGCTAACTAACTACCCATCATCCTTTGCTCCCGTCCAGCTGACCAGCTGCCTCAATGTTGATGTTGTTGTTAATTGTTGTGTTGGTGCTGTTCTTGTTCCTGTGCTTTATCCTGTGTCGATGTGACACTCGTTCTCGCCCCCATGACCGTGCCGCGGCTGTGCTGTGTAAATCATGCATGGGCTTTGGGTGCATGGGAAATGAAGGGGTTACATTGGCCAGCCTGATGGAGAAGAAGAAGAAAGGGTTTAACTGGTTCAGCCAGTCCTCTGACACTCATGGTAAATCTCCCTCCCACCCTTCTGTCCCTTTCATATATGTGATTACTTGATGATATTTCTGAATATTACCTGTTAGAAGCCTTGCACAGTGTTTAGTTATTTTTAAATGAATGGTTCTGGATTTAAAATCTGATTGGAAGCCATTATAAAATACTAGGGTACCAGTTACAAAATGGACTAATATTTCTAAAGGGATAATTAACTAATTCACAGATAATGTTTTTGGATTTGTATTATTATTATTCATTGATTTCGTTATTTATTGAACATTAGTCATGCTGTTTCCACATTTTATAGAAGTAATAATCCATTTAAGCAATATCCTTCATTTTCTTTCCTATGTTGCCATGCTTCCTGTTGTATTGACATTTTTGGTGTAAATGCAAATGCATGTGCATTTTAAATGCATTTATCTGTTAAATGTTACTTATTAGGGGTGTATATAGAGTAAAAGGAACATAAAGCCAAAACACTTTTTATTGGGTTTTTAACTGTAATAAAATCACTCTTCACTACCGTTCAAAAGTTTTTCTCTAAGGTTGTATTTTACTGTAACAAAATACAGCGCAGCAGTAAAATTGTGAAATATTTTTTCTATAAATTAAATTTTCTATATATCGCATATTTTCCTGTTTGAATATATGCTAGAATGTAATTTATTCCTGTGATGCAAAGCTGAATTTTTAGCAGCCTAGTCTTCAGTGTCACATGATCCTTCCCAGATTTTGTGCAAAATAAATATTTCTTCTTATTATCAGTGTTGAACACTTATATTTTGCTAAATATGTTTTTGGAAACAGTGATACATTTTTTTTATGATAACTCTAGGAGAGTTTAGCATGGTAATGTACATGGCAGTGTTAATGCATTTGGTCTTGGTGGAATAGATCTGCTACACTGCTGTGGCAGAGCAAGTACCGAGACTTGCTACTGCCAATACATCCACAGACATGCTGCTGTGAGCATGTAAGAAATACTGCTTCTCCACATATAACATGCATGAAATCACCCATATATAACATACATGAAATTACCCCGTAGCAGATCTATACAGGTGGAGCTGGGGAAGGTGGAGGGTTTATGAAGTGCGCTGCAACTGCTACAGCAAGCACTGGCCAAGTATTTGAATGTCGAGCAGCAAGCTCATTGGCTGCTGATGTGAAAGAAACCAATCAGCTGTGCCATGTGAATAATGATATGATGATGTATATCAGATTGTGTTAGAACCTATCGGCCTGCGCCATCTAGAGTTTCATGACAGAACTTTGTATTACTGGTCATTTTCTGCCAAGACATTATCTGTTAAGTTTACGGTCGTTTCCATTAACCCTGAAACACAACACAATTCAAAGCATATTTGAAATGTAAAAAGATCAATAAGGAAAATTCCTTCATTTTAACGTAGTACATTGGTTTAGTATTTTTACTGAGAAAAAAAAGGCAAAGATACTGAATGCAAATTTTACTGATTTTTTTTTTTTTAGATTATCAGATTATTTTTTATTAATTGTGTAATTATTTAAATTTGTATTAATTATTTTGAATTTGTCTTTATTTTATTATGTTTTAATTTTAATTTGAAAGTTTTAGGAATGTTTATTTTGTTAGTTGTTTCTATAGTCTTTATTCATTTTTATTTCAGTTTCTTTTATTACACCGGGTTAAACTAAATGAAAATAAATGCTTTGGCAACTAGTTAAAATAAAATATATATTTTTTTTATTTCAAGTAATACATTTTTCATGGTTTTAATTTTGAACTGTGATATATGATAACATCCAACATCTCATTTATTTTGGTTATGTTTCACAAAATGCCATGAAATCTGATTTTTTTTGAATATTTACTGTATTTAATTTGATTGGCCTGCCATGTATGCATTATATTCCTCATTGTTTTAGATGTTGTTGTAAATTGGTTGTTCATTTCTGGTAAGTCCAAAGAGAACAAAATGTACAAATAATAGCCTGCTTTTCCAAGCAAATATCAAACCGGCAATTTCATCTCTGTTGACTCTGTACCATTTTCAAATTGCACTCTTGCATTTTAGTGATCATACAAGACCATACTGCAATTTTTTATTTGATTAATTGTGTAAATTTAGCATGAGAAATTATATTAGAAGGGGCCTTTTTTAAGTACAAGTTACATACACATGCACGCAGATCTCCATCATCTGCACCATTGAATCTCAACACTTGGTCCCTCGCTATGTTCTTATGTTTTCACTGAATTCATTGCACTGTGATCCTAATAACCTGCTCTCGCTCACTGCTAACTAACTACCCATCATCCTTTGCTCCCGTCCAGCTGACCAGCTGCCTCAATGTTGATGTTGTTGTTAATTGTTGTGTTGGTGCTGTTCTTGTTCCTGTGCTTTATCCTGTGTCGATGTGACACTCGTTCTCGCCCCCATGACCGTGCCGCGGCTGTGCTGTGTAAATCATGCATGGGCTTTGGGTGCATGGGAAATGAAGGGGTTACATTGGCCAGCCTGATGGAGAAGAAGAAGAAAGGGTTTAACTGGTTCAGCCAGTCCTCTGACACTCATGGTAAATCTCCCTCCCACCCTTCTGTCCCTTTCATATATGTGATTACTTGATGATATTTCTGAATATTACCTGTTAGAAGCCTTGCACAGTGTTTAGTTATTTTTAAATGAATGGTTCTGGATTTAAAATCTGATTGGAAGCCATTATAAAATACTAGGGTACCAGTTACAAAATGGACTAATATTTCTAAAGGGATAATTAACTAATTCACAGATAATGTTTTTGGATTTGTATTATTATTATTCATTGATTTCGTTATTTATTGAACATTAGTCATGCTGTTTCCACATTTTATAGAAGTAATAATCCATTTAAGCAATATCCTTCATTTTCTTTCCTATGTTGCCATGCTTCCTGTTGTATTGACATTTTTGGTGTAAATGCAAATGCATGTGCATTTTAAATGCATTTATCTGTTAAATGTTACTTATTAGGGGTGTATATAGAGTAAAAGGAACATAAAGCCAAAACACTTTTTATTGGGTTTTTAACTGTAATAAAATCACTCTTCACTACCGTTCAAAAGTTTTTCTCTAAGGTTGTATTTTACTGTAACAAAATACAGCGCAGCAGTAAAATTGTGAAATATTTTTTCTATAAATTAAATTTTCTATATATCGCATATTTTCCTGTTTGAATATATGCTAGAATGTAATTTATTCCTGTGATGCAAAGCTGAATTTTTAGCAGCCTAGTCTTCAGTGTCACATGATCCTTCCCAGATTTTGTGCAAAATAAATATTTCTTCTTATTATCAGTGTTGAACACTTATATTTTGCTAAATATGTTTTTGGAAACAGTGATACATTTTTTTTCATGATTATTTGATGAATATAAATAAATACATAACAGCATTTATTTGAAATAGATTTTTTGTAACATTATAAATGTCTTTTTTTTTTATCATTTTTTAATCAATTGAATGCATCTTTTTTTTAAATAAAAGTATCAATTTCTTCTTTAGAAAATGAAAATCATAGTGACCCCAAACTTTTGAATGGTAGTGTATGCAGTATAAAGATTAGAAGTTGGTTTCACCTCTCAACTAGACAAATATTCCATGTTGGGGTGAACAGACATGCATGGGATCGATAATCATGCTGTTTAGCATGGAATCGAGCAAATCATTTTACCATGTAAATGTTTACTATAGCTGTATCTAAAAAAATGTTTGTATTAATCATTGACTTGTGCACAAATTGTCCATTTTGGCCTGTATGGATATATGTATTTAAGCTAAATGTTTAAACTTTAATGTCTATGTGTGTGATGTTTATGTGGATGCCGTGGTGTGTGAATGCACTGCTAATTCCTAATCATGCTACTTGTGCATTGCAAGTGTGAGTTTTCCTTCTCTATGCCCATCAGCGTTTATGTTCTTTGTACCCATCAATTTTTCCTCAACATTAGTGTTATCAGACTCCTCGCTTGCCTCGTTTCCTCGTTCCTGTGCTAATTTAGTCCTCTCATTCTCATTCTCTCAAAATCAGAGTGAGTCAGAGATCAGATCTGGCAGGAGTGGGAGAGCAGTGTCTCTCCAACTTAAAAATACCACTTTATAACAGTGACAGCAAGTTTCTAACATAGAAATGAGGTTAAACCCAGATCACCAGGCTCAGGGTCAGCATTTTATAGAGCAGTCACAGAAAGTCTGATCACACTCGCTTATTACTGTCTTTGGATGTGTCAGAATTTATCCGTATATCCTGAGGAAATGTGAGGACTAAGAAAAACTTTTTTTTTTTTTTACTTTTATTTTACCATTCTCATGAAACGTTTAGCCTTTAATTTAATTTTTGTAAATTTCTTCTCAGAACAGCGATGCAAGTTGATTAAACTTGAGTTAACGTATAAACAATAGCTAACACTACATAAAGATTCAATGAATTAATAAACAAATTAATGACAAATATAAATTGAAAACAAAAAAGCAAAATGTTAGATTGCAGTAATTCCACAAATTTTCAACAGTGCTTGTGTATACACCTGTATGTATGTATATATATTTATTATATATAATTGTTTAATTTATAAATATTTATTGCATATCATACAGCTTTTTATTTTTTAAATGCTTTAATATATGTAGAAATTAATTGTTCATTGTCTGTTCATGTTAACTATTGCATTAACTAATTCTGAAGTACACACTAATGTGTTTTCAAAAAGTCTTGTGTTGGTAAACCGAAAGTTCAAGATCAAATTGCATCATGTCAGAGCTTAGAAATTACTGACTTATGTTCATGAATTATTTTTTGCACATGCATGCTCTCTCTTTTTAGCCTTATCTATTCAAAACAGTGCACATTATATTTATAGTTGGAGTGTTTGACTTGAATTGGGTTTCACTAAGGATGTGTCTCAAAATCTCATTATCATTGTTGAATGTTTATCAGGAAGATGATCATGTCTTGTTTTTGTCCACTAAATCTTTCTTGACAGAGTATGTGTGAAGTATGTGTTTTAATGTGTGTGTGATGACCCTTTTGTTTGTAACACAATAGCAAGCATGCCGGCGAGTGAGACAGAATCCATGAATACAGAAAATGAGAAAGGAGAAGAGGAGAAGGCAACATGTTGCGGCCCGACATGGTGAGAAAACTCACACATACATGTGAAACATTCATATCAAGAAACATATGAATTTATTAACTTTACAATTTCTTTCAATTTACAGTCAAAAAATTTCAAAATCAAAGTTCAGGTCAGTAAAGTTGTGATTAGTTCACATTATATTCTATCTATCTATCTATCTATCTATCTATCTATCTATCTATCTATCTATCTATCTGTCTATCTGTCTATCTATCTATCTATCTATCTATCTATCTATCTATCTATCTATCTATCTATCTGTCTGTCTAGTGTTCTATCTATCTATCTATCTATCTATCTATCTATCTATCTATCTATCTATATATCTGTCTAGTGTTCTATCTATCTGTCTGTCTGTCTGTCTAGTGTTCTATCTATCTATCTATCGTTCTATCTATCGTTCTATATATTGTTCTATCTATCATTCTGTCTAGCATTCTGTTTATCCAGAGTTTTATCTAGGTTTTTAATCTCATTCTTTCAATGTATCATTCTGTTGTCATTTCTTCTCGTGTCTATGTTGTCTGACTTCACTGCTTCCTCTTTTTCAGTCGGCGCTGGCGTCGCTGGAACCGGATGTGTCGAAGGAATTGTCGTTTGGCTGTGAAATCTGTGCCATTCTATTGGCTGGTGATCATCTTGGTTTTCCTCAACACTTTGACTATCTCTTCAGAACATTACAACCAGCCCCTGTGGCTCACGCAAGTCCAGGGTGAGCGCTGCGTGTGTTTGTGCTCCCGTAATATATGTAAAAGTTCAAGCTTCACATTCTCGCTATATCCTTTCTTCTTTCTCCTGTAGATGTGGCCAATAAAGTGCTGCTGGCCCTGTTCACGTGTGAGATGTTGGTGAAGATGTACAGTCTGGGTCTGCAGGCTTATTTTGTGTCTCTGTTTAATCGCTTTGACTGCTTTGTGGTGTGCGGAGGCATCACAGAGACGATCCTAGTCGAGATTGAGATTATGTCACCTCTCGGCATCTCAGTGTTTCGATGTGTGCGACTTCTCAGGATCTTTAAAGTCACACGGTAAGGGATCGGAATAGAGGAATGAAAATTGTGTTAAAGCAATAGTTCATCCAAAAAAACATTTTTTTACTCACTCTCATGATTTTCCAAACCCATAAAATGTTTAGGAAATTTGTTTTTTACATGGTTTGTTTTTTGCCTTTAGTCATTGGGCATCTCTCAGTAACTTGGTGGCATCTCTGCTGAACTCCATGAAGTCCATTGCTTCTCTACTGCTGCTGCTCTTCCTCTTCATCATCATCTTCAGCCTCCTTGGTATGCAGGTGTTTGGTGGCAAGTTTAACTTTGACGAGACACAAACGAAGAGGAGCACCTTTGACAACTTCCCTCAGGCCTTGCTCACTGTGTTTCAGGTCTGTCCGTGTTTATCTATGAAGACTTCAGGTTTGATTTTGATGAATATGTGGTTACTCATGTTAATGGTATGTTGTTTTCAGATTCTGACCGGTGAAGACTGGAATGCCGTCATGTACGATGGAATTATGGCGTACGGCGGCCCATCATCGTCAGGAATGATCGTGTGCATCTACTTCATCATTCTCTTCATATGTGGAAATTGTATCCTCTTACTGCATCTGACTTCCTAATGAAGCCAAGTAGCAAACAGAAAACCAAAATAGGTTGTGGATTAGTTGTTTACTATCTTGGTTGCAAGACTAGTTTTTTTTCTTGAAATTAACTAACAAGTTGACCAAAAGTGACAAATCTTTTGCAACCTTATAAATGCCTTTACTCTTTCAAATAAATCCCGTTCTTTTTTAATTTATTTTTATTCATCCTGAAAAAAATATTCTGTTATCACTCTTTCCCTAAAAATAGTAAGTGGCTTTGCCATCACAGTAAAAAATTGCTTTTAAAAATATATTCAAATAGAACTCTTTTTTTATTTATAATAATATTTCACAAAAGTACTGTTTTACTGTATTTTTATCAAATAAATGCGTCCTGGGTGAGCATAAGAAACCTCTTTAAAAATATCTTCAACGTGTATCCGCAAATGTGTAGACAATGTGCAATTTAAATGAATTTGGGAAATAGTTTTGATCATATAATCTGCACACCTATATGCAGTTATTTGCTCCACAGAAAACAAAAGGAGATTTTTTTAAAGCCATTTTCCCACAGTTATTTGTCAAATCCCAAGAAAAAAAATATATCTATATATAAAAAAACTCATTTTTTTGGAACTTGACATACAGTGGGGAAAAAAAGTATTTAGTCAGCCACCAATTGTGCAAGTTCTCCCACTCAAAAAGATGAGAGAGGCCTGTAATTTTCATCATAGGTATACCTCAACTATGAGAGACAAAATGAGAAAAAAAAAATCCAGAAAATCACATTGTAGGATTTTTAAAGAATTTATTTGCAAATTATGGTGGAAAATAAGTATTTGGTCAATAACAAAATTTCATCTCAATACTTTGTTATATACCCTTTGTTGGCAATGACAGAGGTCAAACGTTTTCTGTAAGTCTTCACAAGGTTGTCACACACTGTTGCTGGTATTTTGGCCCATTCCTCCATCCAGATCTCCTCTAGAGCAGTAATGTTGTGGGGCTGTCTTTTACTCACTCTCATGATTTTCCAAACCCATAAAATGTTTAGGAAATTTGTTTTTTACATGGTCTGTTTTTTGCCTTTAGTCATTGGGCATCTCTCAGTAACTTGGTGGCATCTCTGCTGAACTCCATGAAGTCCATTGCTTCTCTACTGCTGCTGCTCTTCCTCTTCATCATCATCTTCAGCCTCCTTGGTATGCAGGTGTTTGGTGGCAAGTTTAACTTTGACGAGACACAAACGAAGAGGAGCACCTTTGACAACTTCCCTCAGGCCTTGCTCACTGTGTTTCAGGTCTGTCCGTGTTTATCTATGAAGACTTCAGGTTTGATTTTGATGAATATGTGGTTACTCATGTTAATGGTATGTTGTTTTCAGATTCTGACCGGTGAAGACTGGAATGCCGTCATGTACGATGGAATTATGGCGTACGGCGGCCCATCATCGTCAGGAATGATCGTGTGCATCTACTTCATCATTCTCTTCATATGTGGAAATTGTATCCTCTTACTGCATCTGACTTCCTAATGAAGCCAAGTAGGAAACAGAAAACCAAAATAGGTTGTGGATTAGTTGTTTACTATCTTGGTTGCAAGACTAGTTTTTTTTCTTGAAATTAACTAACAAGTTGATCAAAAGTGACAAATCTTTTGCAACCTTATAAATGCCTTTACTCTTTCAAATGAATCCCGTTCTTTTTTAATTTATTTTTATTCATCCTGAAAAAATTATTCTGTTATCACTCTTTCCCTAAAAATAGTAAGTGGCTTTGCCATCACAGTAAAAAATTGTTTTTTTTTTAAATCCCAAAATTGCTTAACACATCGACACCTAGACATTCTTCTGAATGTGTTCTTGGCTATCGCTGTGGACAACCTTGCCGACGCAGAGTCTCTGAACACAGACAGCAACGATAAGAAGAAAGGGTAAATGATAAAACCTTGTAGAGGTCATTTAATCAGCCGTTGAGGGCCAGAATCTAATTTCCGCTGCTTGTGTGCTGCATTTCTCAGTGTGCTTCTTTTCTTTTTTTCCAAGTGATGAAAACGAAGATGACGCCAAGGTAACTTGCTTTTTTGTGTTTGCATTTTATATGATTTTGTGTTAGTAGTAGCATTTAATAATGTTTGTTTCTTCTTCAGGCTGGAGAGGAGGATGAGAAAGACAATGCAGGTAAAGAACTACTATACATCTGCATCTGGTTGCACATTGAAGACTATATTTTTAAGTATGCTTGTCCTGATCATCGTGTCCATGTAACAGAGGAGGATGAAGATGAGCCGGACGTTCCTGCAGGGCCCCGCCCACAGATCTCAGAGCTTGTTAAGAAGGAGAAAATCACTCCAATCCCAGAGGGCAGTGCGTTCTTCATCTTTAGCAGCACAAACCCGTATGTGTCACATTGAAGTCTGCTCAAACATACACTGAACTAGACAGAAGCAAAGAGACATTTACATAAACACAAATGCGTTACATTACATTTATGCATTCGGCAGATGCTTTTATCCAAAACTACTTGCATTATATTCGATGTATTCATATCTATTTATGCATTTACCCATTTACCTTGGAGTTTCCAACGCTATCCTCTACTATTTGAGTCAGAGTTGTTTTACTATTATTAATATAGCATTATAGCATTTATTAATATTTTGAAGTGGATTTTATATTTATATTATCAGATTTATTTTAAATTTTAGTTTTTGTAATTTTGTTATGTTTTTTTTTTAGATGTATATTTAGCTTTAATTTATTTATATTTGGGTTTAAGTAATTTGAGTAACTGATTTGAGTAAAAGTATCACCGTTTGTAAAAAAAATCAGAGAAAATGTAAAATGACAAGAAACACTGTAATATGCATTATTTCATTAAAATTTGTAGACTTTTGTGATAAAGGAATTATTTAGATGTTTGGGCAGAACCTGTCACAGAAACTTTGTAAATTTGTTCTTTAGATGTTTGTTTTAGTTGCCAGGAATGTGTCACCACAACATTTTTTTTTTTCCTTTTGGACAATACAAGAAAAACCTGAGCATGGGTCAGACGGTTGTTTTTGCTTTAGATTAAATCCACATGTTTCTTATTAATCAAAGTGACACACATGTAAAGCTTCTGGACCTTGAAAACACACACATAGTGTTCAAGATGTGTTTCAAGTATGTCTTTTTCTCTCTCTGTAGAATTCGTGTCGCGTGCCACAAGCTGATAAACCACCACATCTTCACCAACCTCATCCTTGTCTTCATTATGCTAAGCTCCGCCTCCTTGGCAGCTGAGGACCCAATCAGAAACTTCTCTGCCCGGAATATTGTAAGTACAACTTGCACACACACTATGTTAAGATTACTTATTAATGTCCAAAACATTCATTAATTCAACTAAAACAACATGGTAAGTGATATTTAATCGTTATCAAGTAAACTTTTGATTTTCACGTGATGTGAATATTGTAAAATACTACTTTTGTTTAGTTTTTTTGGTTAAGAACTACTCGGTGTACTCAGATTGTGAATATTTAAAAAATTCTAATTAAATGAGCCATCCAAAGCATTTACAGACAATAAGAGATATTAGTAGAGTTGTATATGACTAGTTGCTTTGTGCGTCTGTTATTCCTTCATCTCTTCATGTTTGCTAACCCTTTTCTTTCAAACTAAGGGAAGTACCTTCACTGAAACCCTAATGTTTTTGTGGTGTTACCGTAACAGACACACTGGTACACCTGGAATAATGAACTAAACTAAACAACATATATACCTACAATTCTAAAGATATTTGTATTCTGGTAATAAATGATGATTGCTGAATGTCCTTGTTAAACATGTACGTTGCTCTTTGCAGATACTTGGTTACTTTGACTATGCTTTCACGGCTATCTTTACTGTAGAGATCGTGTTAAAGGTAAATGTCCTGCCCTGTGCTGGTGTTGTGTGTGGTGTATGTACAGTAACGCTGTAACCGTCTGGTTTATTCCAGGTCCTAGGCTATGCAGATTATGTCTTCACTAGTATGTTTACATTTGAGATCGTGTTGAAGGTAACCTCTCGGCGCACAGGCCTGGCTGCATTATCTCCATGTGTGTCACCTGCTACTTCAGTACCACCTGGCTTGATCAGTCTCTTTTCTTTCTCTTTTTTTAAACCATGGCACCTCTTTTACTAAAAGACTAAAAGAAAAGAAATGTCTCAGAAGCACATCTTCATCAAAGCACAAGAGTTGTCAGGTTTTCACCTTTCTTTTGGGGAGAACGACAGGGCTTGAGCTCAACCCTGATTGGTCAAAGTGGGGTTAAGGAAGGAAACCGATCTGGAGAAATCACACAGGATGTGTCTGTGAAACTAAAATGCTTTTCGTTGAGGAAAGAAACCAATTTCAAAAAGACAAAACTATGCAACTCTTTGTGAAATGAAAACAACACTGCCTCTCTCATGCCTTCATAAGCGATTGGCTCGTATCCAGTCCATAAAAGAGGGGGCAAATACAACCATGCTTAGAACATGGTTCAAACCCCTTGACTGAGTGCATATCAGTGCGATGTGACCTCCAGCGCCGAACGGGGCAGCACAGTTATTTGATATTATTCTGGCTGTGTTCAGAAAGTCAGTCTACAGTACTATTTGTACTATTCCTGCAGTTTAGAGTATCAATACTGTGCACAGTACACAGATTATCTGTATGGCACAGAATGCTGTTTTGTTTTTATTTAGCTGTAATTTATTTTTCAGTTTTAGTAACTTAAAAATGATTTATTTCATTATAGTTTCCAAAGCTGCAATTCTAAGTTTTTCGTCTTCTATTTTATTTTATTTCAGCTTTATTTAAATAACTGAAAAACATTTTAATAGGTTTACAGTAGTCTTAGTTAATGATAACAACACTGATTTTAGCTACATTAAGACAAATCTGAGAAATTATTAGTCGGGTTCTGTGATCAAATAAATTATTGAGCTGTTTGAACAGATGTTTAGCTTGAATTTATTTTTCAGTTTTAGTTCATTAAAATGACATAAATTAAAATGATAAGTGTTCTGCCAATACAGCAATTCTAATTGCCGGTCAAATTTAAGTTGACATTTTTCATGTAATATATGTACAGTACATTGTATTTTATTTTATATTGTTTTAGTTAGGCTTCTGTGATAAAGAAATTATTTAGCTATTTCAACAGAAAAAAAATTTGGACAATACCAGAAAAATGTATAGACTAAGGTCAGACTATCATTCTTTCATATTGATTAAATCTATATATTATGTTTGCAATTGTTAAAGTCACTAGGCAACTACTTTTATTGTTTTAATATCTTAGATAGACATCAGTTTTACACATTTGATGAGCACAGACACATTGTATTCAAGACATCAAGACACTACCCACAATTCAGTGTGCAAGACTTGACCGTCTTAGTGTCGTGAATGAACCGAGCAATAAATACAACTCATATTGTTTCATAATTACATGTAATTGACACATTTTTGATCAGATTGTCAAAATGTAACACATTTTTATACAAAATTGACAGAAAATAAAGGTAAAATACACACTATGCAGTGTGTGACAACACTATTAGCATACTACTATTTGAAACGTTTATCATGTAACCGTTTCACTTATTTATTAATTTTTTTAAAGACCTAATTCAATTCGTGTTTTGTTGCTTTTAGTCCATGGCTACAGTAGAAAACAAGAAAACGTCACTTTTATGATTTTAAAGACAAGTAAGCAGTATACAGTGTGTACTGTGCAGTATTTAGTAAATAGTAGGCTAATATACAATTCCGAACATAGCCTCTTGTTTTGTGGAGATATTATGATAAGTGCTGATCTTGGACCAGCAGCTACTACTTAAAAGTTTTTACCTAAAATGTTTTATGTATTCACCCAAAATTGGTCTCTGATCAGCAGCCTAACGTTAGCGTAACCCAGTGCTTGCCTTCGGGGTGTATGGTTGCATCTGTATTCATATACATTTAGCGAATGACTCCTTTGCATTCATGATTTGGGAGCGACTTGCTTTGGTTTTGGCTGGTCTTTTCTCTGCCTGCTGAATATGAAGTTGCAGTAGGAGCTTCTTCCCCCTCTTTTTTTTACCAAATCTTGCCGAGGGAACAAGGCGCAATGTTCTCAAGAAAAAAAAAAACGGCTCACATGAATGTGACAGTAAGGGAAGTTCTCATTTCAGATCGCCTGATAGATAGGTTCCCTTTCTTTCTTACTCTTTTTTGTCTTTTCTTGCTCTTTCGTCATCTCCTCCTGTATTCGTTCTGTCTGTCCTTATTTCTTCTGTCATAATTTAGGCCCCTTCAAAGCTCGGCAACAAACAGCATGTTTTATTGCCGGGCCCCCTAGTGGTGGATTGTGAAACAGAGCTTACTACTACATTCATGTTGACTCAGGCCGTGAGGGTTTGGCGGAGTTAGTGCTAGGATCTCGCCTTTAGTCCAACTCCAAGCACGCCACCCTTAAAAAAGAGTGATATTAAGGAGTGCATATGTGTTAGTGTGTGTGAGAGCGTGTTTTCTGTCTGAGAGTGTGATTTGCTGTTTTCTGGATGTCTTTGGTTACGGTGGAGCAAGTTTTGACCATCTATGCTTGTTTTGTCAGATGACCACGTATGGAGCGTTTCTCCACAAGGGGGCTTTCTGCAGGAACTACTTTAATCTTCTTGATCTGCTGGTGGTCGGCGTGTCGCTGGTGTCCTTCGGAATTCAGTGAGTGATTGCTATCCCTTTAAGTTTTACATTATGTGAATGTGAGGTGAAAAAGAGAGACAGGAAAAGCAGCGGGTCATTTCCTGTCCTTTGGAATCGTCTTGTCTGCCATTTTTGAAGGGTATGAACAAATTGACAGAGAATCAAAGAGGTGGTATTTTAAGGCTGCTCAGTAAATTAATATAAAACCGGAATCGCAATATAGTCTGGTTAGTAAATCCCAAAGAATGAAATGTAATTCAATAAATATATGCACTACGTGCTTTCTGGTTCTACGTTGGAGCAGCTCATGATCCGGTGTTTTTGGCGTCTCATAGCAGCTCCCTATAAATACTGCTTCACAAAAACGCTATCTCTGAATCTGCTTTCAGTTTGGGTCGCTTATCTTTCCGACTTTCCAAATTTGTAATGAGTTAAACTCACTGCTGTCAACAAAAAATTATCTGTAATGATTTTTATAAAATAGCCATAAAAACAGCCATAAAAGTTAGTGTAAATATTAGAGTTTTTACAATTGTACTATAAAGGAAATAATAGTAATAATAATTATTATTACCTAAATACTATTTTTATTTTAAAATGAAATATTACAAAGGTAATATTTCTTATTTTAATACTTTGATTTTGAAATAATAATAATAATGATTTTCTTTTTACAGTGAAATATTGTCATAGTAATATTTATTTTTTAATATTTGTGTTTAGTAATCATTATTTGTTTTCTTAAGTACTCTTTTTTTATTTAATAGCCAAGTATTACAATATGAATATTTTTTATTTTATTTATTTATTTATTTTTATTATTATATAGTTATTTTGATATATAATTACAAAACTTTTGGGCCAAATAACGCCACACTACAATCAATTCCAGCAAACCTGGAGCTTCTTCTTTTTTTAATTACATTTTAAATCACACAAAAAAATTGCAGTTCTAAATTGCTTCATTTAAGTATCAGCTTTGCCTCAGATGTTTACTCTCATTGTGTTTTTTTTAATTAATCAATGTGGCTAGCTTAGCTTAGATAAACTGGCCTAGATGCCCTAGTTGAGATATTAACGAGATGTTATTTGTGGTTGTTCTTTCTTATGGCACATGCTGGTTTGGTGCTGGTCTAGCTGTTGGACTTGCTGCTCAGAGGCAAAACTTATCATGGCATCATGAAGCTAGTTTAGAAACCTGTCAAAGACAACAGCATCATAAGGACTTTAAATCATGGATTTCTTCTTCTGTTTTATATGTTTTTTGGTAACGTGAATGCTCGTGTCTCCTGCAGATCGTCGGCCATCTCAGTGGTGAAGATACTGAGGGTTCTGAGGGTGCTGCGTCCACTCAGGGCCATAAACAGAGCTAAAGGACTGAAGGTTCTGGCCACTGCTTTACTTAGATTTTTGATGATCTTTGATGAATTGTCCTCAGTTAATGGGGCGAAAATAAGGCTTACATGCAGGACCAGTTGTTTAAGCAACTGTAAATTTGACATCTGTCTGACAACCTCTGAGCTTTAACCTTTGCCCTCTGCAGCATGTGGTCCAGTGTGTGTTTGTGGCTATCAGGACTATCGGAAACATCATGATTGTCACCACACTGCTACAGTTCATGTTTGCCTGCATTGGTGTACAGCTCTTCAAGGTAAAATATTTAGTGTTTATGAAATAAGTTCTCAGCCAGGCTGTATTTATTTGATAAAAAATACAGTAAAAACAGTAATATTCTGAAATATTATTATAATTTAAAATAATTATCTTCTATTTTAATATATTTTAAAATGTAATGTATTCCTGTGATGCAAAGCTGAATTTTCAGCATCATTACTCCAGTCTTCAGTGTCACATGATCCTTCAGAAATCATTCTAATATGCTGATTTGCTGCTCAATAATCATTTCTTATTATTATTAATGTTGAAAACAGTTGTGCTGTTTAATATTTTGTGGAAACATGAATACATTTTTTTCAGGATTCTTTGACGGCATTTATTTTTTACATTTCTTTTTCTTCAGGGGAAGTTTTACCGCTGTACTGATGACACCAAGTCCAGCCCAGAAGAGTGCAAGTGAGTCTAACTGAACTTTTTCTCATAAAATTTACAATGATTGTAGTAACTTTTACAAAAGGAAACCGCTATTAGAGGCAAAAATAACGTTTTCTCTCTCTCAGGGGAATATATATCCTGTATAAGGATGGAGACGCGAACCTGCCAATCATTCAGAAGCGCCACTGGCACAACAGCGATTTCAACTTTGATAACGTGCTCATGGCCATGATGGCTCTATTCACAGTGTCCACGTTTGAAGGCTGGCCAGCGTAAGCATTCAACAATATAACAGAATATAAATCAGATATAAAATGGAACCTGTATTCTTACATTTTGTTATGTTATTTTATGTTATTTTATTTTGTGCAACTTAATAAAAATCAGATATAGAATAGCACCTTTATTTTATTTTTTTCATTATTTTGATTCACCTTAAAGGGATAGTTCACCCAAAAATGAAAATTCTGTCATTAATTACTCACCCTCATGTCGTTTCAAACCCGTAAGACCTTTCTCTCTCAGGGGAATATATATCCTGTATAAGGATGGAGACGCGAACCTGCCAATCATTCAGAAGCGCCACTGGCACAACAGCGATTTCAACTTTGATAACGTGCTCATGGCCATGATGGCTCTATTCACAGTGTCCACGTTTGAAGGCTGGCCAGCGTAAGCATTCAACAATATAACAGAATATAAATCAGATATAAAATGGAACCTGTATTCTTACATTTTATTATGTTATTTTATGTTATTTTATTTTGTGCAACTTAATAAAAATCAGATATAGAATAGCACCTTTATTTTATTTTTTTCATTATTTTGATTCACCTTAAAGGGATAGTTCACCCAAAAATGAAAATTCTGTCATTAATTACTCACCCTCATGTCGTTTCAAACCCGTAAGACCTTTGTTCATCTTCGGAACACAAATTAAGATATTTTTGATGGAATCTGAGAGCTGTCTGACCCTGTATAGACAGCAACATAGTCCAGAAACATAGCAAGGAAATCTGTAAAATAATCCATGTGACATCATTGGTTCATCCGCAATTATGCGAAGCTATGAGAATACTTTTTGTGCACAAAAAAAAAAAAAAGAAGAAGACTTTATTCAACAATTCGTCTCCTCCGCGTCACCCTGTAGCGCCATTTTGGAGAATATTCGCTGGACGTAAACAGCGTATGTTGTTCTGTGTCAGCTGCATCACACGGATACGCTGTTTTCGTTCAGATCAAATCACAACAACGTAGGAAACAGATCCGGCGTGACCAGCTGACCCAGAACAGCATACGCTGTTTACGTCCAGTGGATATTCTCCAAAATGGCGCTACAAGGTGAATTGTTGAATAAAGTTTTTTTTTTTCTTTTCTTTTTTGCGCACAAAAGTATTCTCGTAGCTCGTTGCTGTCTATGAAGGGTCAGACAGCTCTCAGGTTCCATCAAAAATATCTTAATTTGTGTTCCGAAGATGAACGAAGGTCTTACGGGTTTGAAATAGCACATTTTATTTTTTCTGCACCTCAATATATATCAGATACAGAATGGCTTATTTTATTTTTTATTTTATATGTTGTTTTATTTGATGTTATATGTAACTTTTTATAGATCAGATATAGAATTGCACCTTTATTTAATTTTATTTTTATAGACCATAATATAGATCAAATCTAAGCACATATATTAAACCTTACATACGTATTACATTTATTACTCTTTATGCATCCATTTAAAAAGGAGCAAAAATTCCAGTTCATCAATATAAGCAGTAATCAGAAACCTATTATTTTGAAACCTATTGTTGTGTATCGTTAAATCAGCATTAGTCTGTAATATTGGTGATTTTGAAAATGGCTCAATGTAATTGGATATTGTGAAATGGCTAATAGTTCTGGTATTGCACGTTCTTACTCAGACAGTCGAGTTTCCTCGTTCAAAACCACAGGGGAAAATCTAGCGTAGCGTTATTTCTGGCAGGTCACGTTAGTCAATCTCGCATCAGCTGACTCTCAGCTGATCCCCATCAACCTATGGGACTACGACACCTATTTAATCATTCATATATAAGGTCCCTCAGTATTATCAGCCGTTTTCGCATTGCTCAATAGCTAATTACCCTCCTCCATCCCCAACTCCTCCTCTGTCAGTTAGGATTCAGCCTTCTGATTCTCCTTTGAATCAGACTAATTCTAAAATGTGTACATAATATTATTGAACTTTAACGATATATGCAATACATTTATCTTGGTTCTATTCTGTTTACCCTGGGGGGTTATTGCTGCTCTCCCTGCTCTCATCCATGCTAGCGGCATGGATGCGCAGGGAGTTCAGGATGCGCAGGGAGTGCATGGATGCGCAGGGAGTTCAGGATGCCCAGAACAGAACCATACCGCCAATCCAAACTGTATGCTAATTGTCAATCATCTTTGACGATAGTGGTCCTGACATAAATGAACACGTGTGTTATTGTGAATTTTGTGTTTGTATTGGCACTGTTGGTAAGTCCCACTATGAACTCGATGCCAACAGTACCACGCTGTCCCTGTAATTACAACACCACACTGCTTCAAATGTTCTGTTAGTTTAACTCACACACACACACACACACACTGTGACAGAATGACACAATATAGCTGTTCTGTAACTGTGGGTGATGAAGTACAGTCGTTTTTCCTTGGCTCTCCTTTCTTTTAGTTTACTTCTACATTTTGTCTTTCCTAAGGTTGTTGTACAAGGCCATAGACTCCAACCGGGAGAACATGGGTCCGATCTACAACTACCGTGTGGAGATTTCCATCTTCTTCATCATTTACATCATCATCATCGCCTTCTTCATGATGAACATCTTCGTGGGTTTCGTCATTGTGACCTTTCAGGAACAGGGAGAGAAAGAGTACAAAAACTGTGAGCTGGACAAGAACCAGGTGAGAGACGACACTATAAGAGAGTGTGAAAAACCTTTGTCACAAAACCTAGTGTGCTGCTTATCTAGACTTTATTTTTAGGCATAATAGGCTCACTCCCAATGCAAAAGCCTTTTCTAATCAGTTTGCAACAAAATTGTGCTGGTTTATAGGGATCCCTCATTTTTAAATCTAAGACAGCATTGCATATAACTTTCACGGATTATTTTAGTATGTACTATTATAGTATTTATTCATATTTTAAATGTAGATTTTTAATTAACGTTATGTTTAGCTTCATTTGTATATTTTTAGTTTTAATTTTAAATTTAGTTTTAGTAATATGTGCTTTTGTTATTTTTATTAGTTTTTTAAAGCTTTGATTTATTATTTTTTTTATTTTTTTTAGTACTTAAACTCAGTTAGTTGCCAAGGCAACATTTCTATTTTGAATTTTTATGCAGTAGATATTTCTTTTTAGCGTTAATTTATTTTTCAGTTTTTGCGACTTAAACTTAGTTATTTAATTTAATTGCCAGTTCAACATTTTTAAGTGTTTCATCTCAGATTTATATTTTATTTGACTTCAGCTTTATTTCAACAAAAATTATTTTTAATAGTTTTATTTTTAGTTAAAAATAACAACACTGATTGCGATGATTCAAAATGTTAATCCAAAGATGGTGGATAAAATGTAACTATTTTATTAAGAACTGAAAAGTAATGGTGAATAAAGTATTCAGTCAGTATTTGTGTGACAGTTTTGTTGTGCTTGTTGTAATTTCATGTTGTTAGCTTAGCAGTCTGCTAACATCAGCTATGAATTTTTTATTTTAGTGCCTCCTATGTAGACAGCAACTGAACTTAGTAAAGTTTGGAACAGAGCCAGTCATTGAGTTTCTACATGTTCTTTGTACTGTATAATGTTTATTTCTGCATTATAAATGATTATGCATATGTGTTGACGTCCACTTAATTAAAAATTTACAGTAGAAAGTAGGGATGCACTGGTATCGGGATCGGGCCCGATACTGGTCTCCTGTACTCATACTCGTTAAAATGCCCCGATACCAAACGCCGATACCACACAGCATGTGATAAGCGCCATATTCAGACAAAGAAACACCGACAACAGAACAACAGACAGCAAAAAGGAGTTAAGGATGTCTACTACGAAGTATATGTATGCAATGAATATAATGTTAAACATTCATTATTGCATGTATAGCTGGTGTGCGCCGAGCTGATCAACAAAGCACGCTAAGTGGATTGAGCGTGCGGCGGTACAGATGCGCGAGCTTGTCGAGTGAATATATCTTTCTCACAGACATCACTGGAAAGTTTGTAGTTCGGTCGGATATGTCAAAAACAAGTAAGTAAAACAATGCACAAGTTACTTAATGGTAGGGAGAGAGAGAGAGCGCGCACGCACTTCTGTTGTGTGATCTTTGATGTTCACTCACTGAGCACACGCATCATTTGGATTAAAACTAAATCGTAAAAATAAAACCATTTATAGGGGCATTCACTATAAACATCATTTATTTTCAACCTTAGGCATACACGACTTTCTGGCGAAAGTGATCTAGCAGCCTGTGTGAAATGCGCTAGGCTGTACTATTCTGCATCAGTACAAATACGAGCAAGCGTTGCGCGTGTTTGGCTTGCTTGAGTGTTTCTGCATTATATGAGAGGCTTTGGAATATAAATCGCAGCACGTTTCAGATGAAAAAACGCGACTTCTATTTCTGAAAATATCACCGTTTGGAGATTTATAACGAGTGGTTCCCTGCATTATTACAGCAAAGCGCGTGACTACAGTACTAAGCCGCTGCAATTAAGCAGCTCTAATGCTATTAAATTAAAGATGATGTACTATAGAGCAAACAAAATGAACAGTGAAAGTAACAAAAACTTGTAAAATACATTTTAATGGGCATAATTGAGTGTGAAAATAACCGAAGGATATACAGTGAAACCAAACAGGATTCAGAGACCAGATATAATTTTTAATATTTTTTTACTAGTGGGTGCAGGACACTATAGTTCATTTATGTAAGTGAGGATAGCAAAATAAAGTAAACTGTGACAAATCATACCCAAAAATTCTTCATACAGTGGACTACCAGTAAAACTGATACAAATTTGGGTCCAAAAATTATTCAGACCGAGTCTGGGGAAAAAATTGAAGTTCAGGTTTGACAGCATGCCCAGGAGACTACAGGCTGTCATTAAGGCCAAAGGTTGCCCGACAAAGTATTCATAGTTGTGTAAATACTGTCATACTAACAGCTGTCTGAAAATTTTGTGCTTTTATGTCATTTATGTTTTTAAAAAATTTGTCTATATAGTTTTTAGAATTTTTTTTCCAGTTTTTTTTTTGTAAATCAATAAATAAAAAATAAAAAGTTATTTTTTTATGTGAATTTAGTTTTATTTAAACATTTTATTTTTTTCAGTTTTAGTTGACCGTGGTTCAAATAACAAGAAATAACGTTTTTTGAAACATTTCAAAACTTGTTCTGAGAACATACAGAAATAAAATTTTTATAACTTAATTCTTATTAGCATACTTTTGTTAGCTGGGAAGCTTAAAAAAACATTTTTAAAAAAAAATTTAATTTCTGCATAATCGGTTATGTACAGCAACTAATTGCTAATCATCACATATATTTCCTGGCCGTCCGCCACTTTGCATTTCTCAGGGGTATTTTGGGGACGCCTGGAACGTCTGTGATGCTTTGGTTGTGATCGGCAGCATTGTAGACAGTGCTGAGTGAGATTGATGTAAGCACAGCACAGTTGTAGGCCCTGTCCCCTCTTATATCCGCTCACACACCTCAGCCCTTTCCTTCAGATTTTTTTTTTGAATAATGTTTTTCTTTATATTTTCCATTTACGTTTTAATTTAACTAAAGCTTTAATTTAAATTTTGTGCTTTTATGTCATTTATGTTTTTGAAAAATTTGTCTATATAGTTTTTAGAATTTTTTTTCCAGTTTTTTTTTTTGTAAATCAATAAATAAAAAATAAAAAGTTATTTTTTTATGTGAATTTAGTTTTATTTAAAAAATTTATTTTTTTCAGTTTTAGTTGACCGTGGTTCAAATAACAAGAAATAACGTTTTTTGAAACATTTCAAAACTTGTTCTGAGAACATACAGAAATAAAATTTTTATAACTTAATTCTTATTAGCATACTTTTGTTAGCTGGGAAGCTTAAAAAAACATTTTTTTAAAAAAATTTAATTTCTGCATAATCAGTTATGTACAGCAACTAATTGCTAATCATCACATATATTTCCTGGCCGTCCGCCACTTTGCATTTCTCAGGGGTATTTTGGGGACGCCTGGAACGTCTTTGATGCTTTGGTTGTGATCGGCAGCATTGTAGACAGTGCTGAGTGAGATTGATGTAAGCACAGCACAGTTGTAGGCCCTGTCCCCTCTTATATCCGCTCACACACCTCAGCCCTTTCCTTCAGACAGCTCAGGATGAGCTCCTTTTCAACTGACAACTTGTGGTTTCATTTCCTGTAATGGCACGGATGTTTTTTGCGAGGTTTCTCTAGATGTCGTCTTGAGTTATTTGTGATGTGAATTGAGGTCGTACAACTAACCTTAATAACATTAACAGTCACACTTTGTTTCCTCTGCTTATCTGAAATAAAACGACGTCTTGTGAACCCTGAAAACTCTGCTGCTGAGAAAATGACCAAAATCGTGTACTTTTTATTGTGTATTTGTGTTGACCATCAATCCGTGGTCTCTCGTTCAAATGTGTGTAAATGCAGTGCGAACTGCAGAAATCCATCAGCTGGTTTGTCTAACGCTTGTTCTTCCATTCTGTCTCCATAGAAACTTGTAGAGGCAAGTATGGCAAGATGTGTTCTCCTGTTTGCTTGTGTTCTGCTTCATCATGACTTTATTCCTGAAGTGCTGAGAGGACAAAAATGTCCTCATCAAAAGTTTGACAAATTTGTGCTGGTTTAAGTGTTGTCATCAAGATCAGTTCAGAAATATTTGTGCCTTGTTGATTGTGTAATGAAGTAAAGCTCTCACTGCCTTGGCTTTACTGATTACAAGCCAAATCAGCTTGAATGATTCGTTTTTGGGGGCAGGAAGGGCGATGACTTGTTAAAGGAACGGACCACCACTTTTTGGCATCACACTTAACATGTTCAGCAACAAACAATAGTTGATGTGGAAACTTCAGCACTCTAATTATCTGCTCATACAGATTCTAGTGGAGTTTTATGATACTGTTTTAATAATAATAATAATAATAATAATAGTAACATTTTGAATTAGCTTTTCAATTTAGTTTAGATGGTCTGTTTGCATTTTAGTTTAAGTTTGAGTAATTTTGTTATGTGCTATCATTTTACCATGAGTCATTTTTATTTCTATTTAGCTTTAATTTTAGTTTCAATATTTTTAATACTTCAACTTTAACTTTCTTTTTTATTAGTTGCAAGGCACCATTGCCAATTTTAATTTAAAAATATTTTATTTCATTTATTTCAATTATAGAAAACTTTTTAATACTTTAACAATTACATCACTCTATATTACATTTGTTTTATAATATTAATAATTATTATTTAATACATTATATAATATATAACACATTTATATAAATTATTTTATTTATTTATTTTATTTTAAAACGTTATGTAACCTAAAAATAATTTTTGTGTTTGGAAATGCTTTTAATAATGACGGAAATGTTTTAATGTTGGGCATGAAGAGGGTGGTGCTGGGAAGTGATGGTGTTCTTTTAAGAGCAATGGTTGAGTTTCAGTGTGTGATGTCTTGGGTGGTGCTTCTTAAAATCCTGTATCTCACAAATACTGTCCAGTTTCAGACATATAACATAGGGAATACGCACACATGTACAGTATATTAGTTTTGAGTCTCATCTCACATGGCTGTCACTCTGCTGTCTGAGCTACAGTGCTATTTTTCTGGTGTTTCTCATGTCCCAGCGTCCATATATAAATGTATATATGTGTGTATTG